GACGTCGAACACATTCCGTATAGGTGGCTTCGTGGGTGGCATGCTGAAGGCCTCTTGGGGTATTTGAGGTCGGTCAAAGTGTGGTATTGCGGGCTCTCCCTCGACATCCCTTCCCCTTCGAACAAGTTGCAACATCGACTCTAACGGGCGTTTCGAGAGCTAGAGACCAGTGAGAGTATCGAGTCCATCCTCCTTCGGCGTGCCCATCACTTTTGTCCTGAGGTCACACGTGAGCATATCGTCACCCTGAAAGAGAACATGAAGAGAGTGTGCAAAGCAACGAGTATGTACGTTGGCATGGCTCCCTTTCGTTTGCTGACTGGATCTATCTGCGCGAGCTCCCGATTTCACTCTGCCCCACGAGGGTGTCTATTCGGGTGCCAGACCGTCGACGGAGTCGACAACGATTCTCTTCGCCACTACTCTTCTTGTCCGAGGCTGGAATCACTTCTCAGGAGATGGATGGGGAGACATATTCGGGTCTATCAAGGTGAGCACTCCTTCCACTGGTTTCCCTCCTGCCTCCTCCTCGCTTTTGACGATGTTGTTGGTCTCCTCCGTCGAGCTGCCTGCATGGAAGCCTCTCTTGCGGCCCTGAACGCCCGTCGGGTTGGGCGCTCTGCCGCTGCTGAACAGGTCTTTGAAGCCCGTCTGCGTGTGCTGGCCCGCCGCCACCCAGCGCTCGCAGACGTATGGTGCGATGCAAGTGTTTGGGTCACTCGCCGTCTGGCGAGGGAGGGGGGCCCGAGAAGGCGAGCGCTGCCGCCGCGGGTGCGCGGCACCCCGCGCGGCAGGCAAGGAGAGTCGACCGCCTTGCGCAGGGACTCCAAGAAGCCTCGAGAGCCCCCCCCCCCCCCCGATTTTTTTTATATAAAAAAGGAGTGGGGGGAACCAAAAAAAAAGAAGAGGCTTCCGACACGCAGAAAACATTGATTCCCTGTTGTTTTTTTATACGATTTTGGGAGTGCCCTGTTCTTCGGATTTCTGGGCGTCCGAGACCGCCTGGGAGGCTCGACAATTGTCACACAACCATCCGAAAGCTTCCAGGCAGTCCAAGACAGTCCCACGACGGCACAACAGGGTTCCAAGATGGCCTAGGAGAGCCCTATGACAGCCCAACATGGCCCCAAGACACCCTCCGAAGCATTCCAAGTCGTGGCCCGTTCATTCAGGGAGGCCGCGGTTGGAAGCGGGGTGGCCTGAGGAAGCCCCCAGAGGCACCCAGATGACGCCCAGGAGGCCCCCAAAAGGTCGTAAGAAAGCTTGAGAAACTCCCATGAGGCCCCCAGAGGCTCTCCAAGGAGAAGTTTTCGCAAAAAAGAGCTGAGGAGAATGGTGGAGAATTCGCAGCGTAGAGCGAGAATGAGGAAACATAAATATGGAGGAACGAAACCAACAAAACATTATTATATCGGCGATGCCGGAAGAGGCAACAAGGAATTATCGTCAAATTGTCTGTTTGATTTTCATGCCATTCCGCCTGCATACCAAATTTCAAGGATCAAGGTGCATGGCGCGACGCGCCACTGCAGTCTTGGCATTTATGCATGTATGTATGTATGTATGTATGTGTGTATGTTTGTTTGTATGTATGCGTGCATGCATGCATGCATGCATGTATGTATGTATGTATGTGTGTATGTCTGTCTGTTTGTCTGTCTGTCTGTCTGTCTGTCTGCCTGTCTGTCTGTCTGTATGTATGTATGTATGTATGTTTATATGTATAAATGTACCCTCCCTCTCACCCTTCCCTTTGTTGCCTCTCTCTCTCTCTCTCCCTCCCTCCCTCTCTCTCTCTCCAAAAATATACGCCTGTAGTTAATTATACGGTAGAGCGTGTATACATGTTTATGTTTATATGCATAAACGTACCTGTGTCGGCGTTCGGGCCATCCCAACACCGTGCTAGTTGTAGGTCAACGGGTTTTTGGATGATTGTGGGGATCTCTTGGGAGACCCCTCGGAAGCATCTTAGAGACGGTGTTGGGATGTCTTGGTGGTTTCCTGTGGGCCTCTTGGGAGCCTCGTAGGGCCTGATTTGGGCTTATTGGGGGTTTCCTGGAGCTTCTGGTGAGCTTTCCTGGGCCTGCTGGCGGTCTCGGGTGTCATCTTGGGACGGGGTGCTCGAAATATGGGTTTGCGTTCCCCCAAGCAGCGTGTGTGTACACAGATTGCGTGTGTAGAGCATTTGTGCACGCAGCGGGTACGACGTGTATAGTGCGAAGTGTATAGTACACAGTGGACACTCACCGTGAATAGCGCAACCATGCACTTTAAGTACGCACCGTAAATACAAACCGTACGTACGCACAGCTAAGACGCACAGCGAATACGCACCGCACGTGCGCACCGCACAGACTCAGCGTAAGTACAGCGTGTGTGCACAAAGCGTGTAATATACGGCGTGTGTCTATGCAACGTGTGTGTGTGTGTGCCCACAGCTTGTGTGTACACAGCGTGCGTGTATAGAGTGTGTGTGTGTGTACACAGCATGTTTGTACACAGCGTGTGTGCGTGTGTGTACACAGCGTGCGTGTGCACAAAGCGTGTGTAAACACATCTGCAGCGCAGGTATACCGCGCATGTATACAGCGCAGGTAGACAGCGTGTATACACGCTGGGGTATTCCACCCTGTCCGCCCTGCCGTGCCACACAATACAATACATACAATATTGGGCCCAGCCCGCGGGTGGCGTGGGCGATCTCCCCCCCCGCGCGTGAGTTGTGTCCTCGCGCCCCCCGCGCCGTGAATCCACAACGTAAGTACACCGTAAATACCCCCCCCCCCCCGCGCAGCACATGCGCACCGTGCATGCGAAAGGAACGCGCGCCTCACGCGGCGAACCCATACCAGGAGCACGCGCTGCCCAAACACGCCGCGACAGCTGGGAAGACGCAAGGCGGCGCGGGAGCGCTGCCCACAAGACGAAACAGACACGGGCAGAACAGAGCGCAACAAGCCGGGAGAGCGCGCCGCGGAGCACGACGACATGGTCACAGTGCTCGTTTCTGATTATATTCGGAAGTTCTTTTTTGGTTTTGGGGAGGCCAAGATCCTTTCATTTCTACTCGTTCTATCCTGGGCCTCTCCCTGGCCACCATGGGGGCCAGGAACAACTGGAAACGAGCGCAATTAGAAGTGGGCGCGACTAGAAATGAACGACGTGTTGTAGGCAGAACGCGCGCCCCCCCAGGCGTCGGGAACATACGCTGCGAAAATGGTATCATATTCACTGTGCACACGGCACGAGGCCTCCCAGATGGGGTCCGAGCAGATGGGGTCGGAGGATCGCGCCGTATCGCCGATGCATCGGCGATGCGGCTCGATGCGGAGCCCGATTTTCTACATGCCCGCGTCGCCGATGCATCGCCGACGTCGCCAGTGCATCGCCGATGCATCGCCGATACATCGGCGATGCAGTGGCGATGCGGCGCGATCCTTCGACCCCATCTACTCGGACCCCATCTAGGAGGTCTCTGATCGAACATCGTAGATACGCCGTAAGTGCTCACCGTGAAAACCGTACGCGCGCACTGTAATTACACACACCGTACATTCACACCTTGAAAGCACTTACCGTAAGCGCACGCCGCAAATACGCCGAAGGTACACACCGTGGAAGAACGCATAGTAGCCCAAAGGGGAAACGCACCGAACCAATTTAGCGCTAGAAGATGCACGGGAAAACGCGCCTCACACGGCGGATACACAGCGAGACAATGCGCCGCCAAATCATGCCGCGACAACGCGCTGGGAAAACGCTAGGCGACGCCGCAGCGTTGCCCACATGATGCGTATACACCGTGAAGACAGACCGAATTAGACCGGGAAAGCGCGCCGCGGAGCGCGAACCGATACGCAGAACACGCTTCCCTAGTCGCACGGAGAGAACGCAATGCGAAAGCGCACGGCAATACTTTAGATTCAATGTTCACCGTCAATAGACACTGTAGTTGCACAGCGTAAATATACACTGTAAGCACGCACCGTAAATACGCACCGTAATCACAAACCGTAACTGCTCACCACACATACGCACCGTAATTATTTATCGTGAACACCTTTCGCAAGTACGCACTGTGAGTACACACCCACGCCCCGTAATTACACAGCGAAAGTACACACCGTGAAACACGCGCCGTAAATGCATGTTGCGGAAACAAAAAGGAACTACGCACCGACACAAAGTATTAGAAGGGAAAGGGAAAAGTGCACATCACGCGGCGGAAGCATAACGAGACAATGCGCCGCCAAATCATGCCGCGACAACGCGCTGGGAAAACGCAAGGAGACGCCACAGTGCTGCCCACATGATAAATTTTCACAGTGAAGAGCAGAACGAAAGGAAGCAGAACACGGGTCCCCTTAGTCGAATCGAGAGAATGCGCTGCGAAAGTGCATGGCGATAGCTCAGATCCACGGTTTACCGTACACAAGCACTGTAGCTGTACAGCTTGACTACACAATGTAAATACGCATCGTCAATACGCACCGTAAGTACACACCGTAACTACGCACCGCCAACCGCCAATGCACACCGTAAGTACACACCGGAAAAGTTTAACGTAATTGCACATTGCAAATATTTACCGTAAAAGAGGACATCGCTGTATATTGACAGCCTCCCCGTCGTTGTACAATTACGGCTCACCATCGTCGCCAGGTTCTCGCCGTCGCCGTCGTTTGCGCACCGCCCGCCATCGTCCTCGTCGCCGTTGTCGTCTGCGTCCCGGCAGTGTCGTCGTCGTCGCCCTTCTCGTCGGCGTCGTTCTCTTCGTCGTGGCAGCCGTCGCCGTTCCCGCCGTCGTCGTCTTGTGGGCTGGGTTGCGCTGGGGCTTGCCTCGGCTGGAGGATGAGGGGGAGGAGGAGGAGGAGAAGGTCAACCAGGAAGGGCGAGGGGAGAAAGGAAGGAGGAGGAGGAGGAGGAAGGCGCAGGAAGAAGGAGGAGGGTCGCAGAAGCGAGAGGGGGACGGAGGCGCGCACAAGCGGCGCCGGCAG